TCTAACAACAGAACCTCTAGTATATGACCGTCCTATTTAGATAGATGCATGCTTAGCCATAATCCTTCCATAAGCCATTTGATAGACTAAACCACCGATTAGCCAAATATATATGTATCCCATAAATGCTATGTTGGTTAACTCCTAAATAGGCCACGTTGACAATAGAAAGATTAAGAAACCTTAGCCCCTAGCATGATTGGGATCCATTAGCAAACACGAATAGTACATTTTGTTGCGCATATTTGATTGTTGTTTGAATATTGGTTTTTCTCGCGTATTATAGACCTTTTGTATCGGTTAGTCGTGAGGCAACGTCTGCAACTTCCAGGAGGTGAAGGTTGATCAAGATTATATCAATAATAAGGATTATCCTGAGCAAGGCAAGTCATCACTATTCCTTGAACATGTTGATCCTAATTGTGAAATTGTTTTGTTTACAAATAAAATTGCATGCAATGATGAACATCCTACTTGTGATTATGCCATGCCTTGATTATTGTTTACCCTTAAAATCCTTGTAACCATGATTACGTATGAGTCCCTAGTCAATTATGACAATTGCTTAGAAATGCTATTCTAGAATCATGCATACTCATATTTATCAAATGCTATATGCTTGGGCAATTACCTTTGGGAAGGTAATTGAGATGCGGCATGTGGAGACATGAGCGCCACATTGCCATGATGTTGATGACATGATTTTTGAAAGGAGAAATAAAATTAAACAACTGTTTTCGACTGGGGCGGACGGAGGATTTGGGTGGTATCTGGAAAAGGCTAGTACCATCCCCGGTCAATTAAGGACCGAGCCATGAAGTTAAGCATGAAACGACCCCCGTACAACCGTACTTCTCGAATGGGTATAGACCTAGCGGATTAGATAGCCGAGCGGAGGCAGTATCCCTGCATAGATGGTTCACCCCTGAGTGAGGCAGGTGCGCTACAATGGGACAGCCGTTGAGGTAGGGCCGAGAGGCGTGCCCTACATCGGTGTCGCCATTGGTAGGACTGCCATGAGTGTGTGAGAGAGAGAACTTAACTTGAACCATAATTTAATATGCGTGTGAGACTTCTCTTTCCCGGGAGCGCCAGAACTCCTCTCACTGCTAGAAACATGGACGCCTAGAGTGCATGAGGATTTAAGTTCATGGAGCGGGTACTGCCAATGCGAGGTTATCGAAAAGCTTTGCCGTGACGCGTCTCATGTGTTGGGACGAGGCTCATGTGTTGGGCAGTCGCGGAGTGCAGGTAAAGTGTACATCCACTGCAGTGTGAGTAAACTAAATCTATTTGAATAGCCGTACTCGCGGTTATTGAGCACCGGGACATGTATTACACTTGGCTAGACTCTAAATTCTTAACTTGTGGGGGATGGGATATTGCATGATGAATTTTATGCTGATGGAGCCACATCCCGAGAGGAGGGAAGGTGGACATCCTCAGAAAACCATGATGATTCAATGGCGGGAAGCTATCCTTGGGATGACAATGGATGGTGGACCGAACCGTCGTTGTTTAAAGTGAACACTGGTACTAAAATTTGATCAGTCTATGCTAGGTTTTAGGCTTGTGAAAAGAATTGTAAAATTAGCTTTATGCAAAAGAACCTGAAGCCATTCCTTGAAATACCCTCTATCATATGCATTGTTGTTGTGGTGGCTTGCTGAGTACGGTTGGTACTCACCCTTGCTATTTATATATCTTTTAGGGGAGTGTTGAAGAGAAGCCCTTGTCGGTACGCTTGCGTATCCCACAAGATGATCGGAGTGCGGTCTTGTTCTAGGTCTCGTTCCCCAGTCGACTGCCTGTGGCATGTTAACCGGGCCCTTATATTATTTTGTCTTCCGCTGTTGTTCTCTGATAGTTGTTGGCCTACCTGGCCCTAATGTAAGTATTTAATTCTTTTTAGCCTAAATTCATTCGTGATATGTTGTGATCCAACTATGTATGTGTGTACCAACTACTGATCCAGGGATTGGTACGGATAAACACAGAAGATTTCCGATTTCCAAAATCGGGGGTCAACACTCCCTCTCCCACCTGCGGTCTACCTCCTCTCCCTCCCCTTCCCCTTCCCCTCCTGCGTTAGTCTACCCTGGCTGGCTGATGACAAGGTCTTAGAGCTTGGTGTCTGCGCCCATCCACCCCCGCCACTTCAGGCCACTTCCCCTCCCCACGCACAAGGAGATAAGGCCAGAGGCAAGGGGGAGCACAATATGGAGATGGAGGCAGTGGTGGCGGCCGGTGGCGCTGTCGACGGTGATAGGGTGCCATTGTCGAGCACGCCTGGAGGGACAACAACGAGTCGGCGTCGTCATCCCGCTCGTCGCTCTCCCGCGACGGTGTCTTCCTGCCGGAGCTCCACCCAACGGTAGCAACACCTCTCCTAGCCCATATGTTTTATTATTTTGAAGATTATAGGTGCCGGTTATACTGATAGAACCGACACCTATAATCTCTATAAGTGCCAATTTTAAAACTGGCACCTATGCAGTTAGGCATCGGTGCTGACGAATTGAACCGGCAACTATGAGAGTAGTGAACATCCCATATCTTCTTTGAGCTTCTTTCGAGAAACCACTCAGAGGATCCTCAGACGGGTACGATCAACGCATTCACGATGTAGATGACGCACTGCTACATAATTGCTTTTCGCAAGCAGGCATTTTCAGTTTTCACAAACGGTGCTCCACCTGCCTAGAGCCAGGTGCCTATAAAAATGAAGATTTTCGCACATCAACACTACAACCGTACGCAAACACTATTTTTCGCAAGTGGACATGTTATGTCATCCGCCTGCACTAGAATTTTGGCAAAAACAAATAAATAATCCCAAAAATCTGTAAAATCTTACCGTCAAGGGTCGAGAAGCTGAGGCCACCGGTGGCGGAGGTGCCGAGGTGCGCTGCAGTGGAGAAGCCCAGGTGCCCATCTGTCACCGGGCCAATCGCTGCTGGCAGCTCCCACCCGTCGAGGGGGCGCCTCAACTAGATCCAACCATCGCAGCGCCGCCACAGCTGGATCCAATTGTCACGAGGCCACTATTGCTAGATCTAGCCGCCACCGTTAGATCCGGCTGTTGCAAAGCTTCCGACCGTGGAGGAATTGAGGCGCTCGCGATAGTGGAGGAGGAAGAGCTGAGGCACGCAGTCACCGCAGTAGTCGTCGTCGCTCCCGAGGCCGACGACGGTGGATGCGCCCCTCCCGGGACAGGGGATGGTAGATTAGCCACTTTACCACCCTCGCGCGAGTCGCGATATGCCATTGTCATCATTTCCCTACCCACCACTGTCGTCGTCGTTGTCGCCCTGTCTACTGGCGTCAGATCTGACCATCACAGGGCCATTCCCGTCGCCGCTGTCGTCACGACCGTTGTCATCGCTCCCATGGATAGGCGGTGGGGGAAGGGGGACGGGTGCTAGAGGAGCGGGTGAGGAGAGGAGAATGGATGGACACACGAGTGTGGAGTGAGGAGATTTTTTTAAAAAAGATTAGAGAGAAAAAGAGATGAAGAGGGAAGTAGGGAACGGGGCAGCTGGCTTGGTGAGACTGACATGCAAAAATTGATTTTTACATACGAGTGTGTTGTCTTCCTCCCGGGCCGATAATATTTTTTTTGAACATACGGGCCGATAATATTATCACAGACGGATGATGTCATAGCCGAGTAGCAGACCGGTAAGCTAGAGAGGGGCCCCTATGCGAAAATCGTTAATGTGGTAGTGACGCTTCCTCCCACATTCATTCCTTTCCAATAGACACGTCAAATGCCGCGCGCTCCTCTGACCGTGTGTCCAAGCTTCATGCTAATCAAATCAATCGATGCTCCCTTTTTTTTTCCCTCAAAAAAAAATCGATGCTTCCTTTTTCCAGCGAGCGATCTGCATGCGCATGGCTTTCCAGATTCCATACCGGATCAAGGTTCCTGAGCAACGGATTGAGATCGGGTTACACTTGTAACTGCAAGATAAAACTGCACACAATTTTGGCAATCTATTTTTAGGATCAACGGTTCAGATCGGAGCTACAGTATTTTTTTCTATAGTACTATGCGCGGTACAGCATGCAATCTGGACCATCCAATTTGCATCCAATGACATGCACTACTGCTGCTTAAGTTGCAGTCACAGTAGTGACTGCAGCTGACCCGAATCCCTGAGCAACATCACCTATGCCTTTGCTCTTGTCACCATCGGCCGGAAAACTCGTGGAAATTAAAACCATTGAGTTAGGCTCTGATAATCAGATGTTGTGGCTGGAAAGTACGCACGCGCGGGGTCTAAAGTCTGAAAGGCGGCGACTACAAAATCATCAATCGATCACATTGCCTTTTTCATTGAAACCATATTATGCTGTCATATCCTCGAGTATTCGTGTACCAATATACTCCGGAAAAGCTAAAAATACCGCGACAATGACATCTGAGTCAATGACTCGTGATAACTAAGTACAGAAAAATTGGCACATGATTTTCCAAGGCCATGCATGCTTTGCTGCCACACGGCCGCCCAAGCAGGAAAGGCAAGCACATCCTCTATCTTTCCCTAGTGTAACAAAGCGATGCAAGTTGTTGCTTTTCCCCGGGAAAGTGATTATATTTCATCAATAGATATCCCCTCGTTTCGTACATACCACCTAAATAGTCACTAAAAATTTTTTAAAAAATTTTTAACATAGTTTAATATGAAATATATCACTCTACAAACATGCAAGTTTAAATTCAACTTCTACAAGTTGTAACAAAAATAACAAATATAGCTGCGAATGTACAATAACTATTTTTAGTTCAATTTGTTCTTTTTGTTGCAACATGTAAAAGTTGAATTTGGTATTATATGTTTGTGGAGTGATATATTTCATATTAATCTATATATGTTGTCATTTCTTTAAAATTTTTTGATAATTATTTAGATGACATGCAATCAACGAGGGATATCCCCTCGTGGAAATCCACATCCCTTTTCCCCACGTAGTGCGGCAGGCTAAATCATATAGCGGCAAATGGTTGAATGCAACTTCAAGTGGGCGAATTTGCAAACATTCCCGGGCGAGCCGGTCATGTTTGACTCCACACTTGCGCACTCAATCCGGCATACGTAGCTATCGGCACAGCGGCGCTAGCTAGCTAGGCCATCTTTAGTGCAAACCATGGCGCCGTTCGTTAAGGGTAGAAACCTCTCTCTCCCCATCTGCTGCGCCGATGCTCGCCGGCTATGTCTACGGTGGTGGCATCCTCGCCGTCGTTCTCGCCGTCGTCGTCGTCACGCTGCCGCTGCCGGCCACGGCGGCTCCGGTCGCTGAATGCGACCCCGGTGTCGCCAACACGAACGTGACCGGCAACAGCGCTTTCGACAGGAACCTGGGCCTCCTCGCCGCGGCGCTCGCCGCCAACGCCTCTGCCGCCGGCGCCCCGGGCTTCGCCGTCCGCACCGCCGGCGCGGCGCCCGACCAGGTCTACGCGCTGGCGCTCTGCCGCGGCGACGTGAACGCCTCGGCTTGCCGCGCGTGCGTCGCGGCGGCGTTCGTCGACGCGAAGGGCGTCTGCCCCGGCGGCATCTCCCTGTACGAGGACGCCTGCTTGATCCGCTTCACCGGCCAGAGCTTCATGGATTTCCTCAGGCCGGACAAGTGGCAGGTCTCCCAGATGACGTACTGAACTATTCTATATATAAATCCGACCATTTCTTCCTAACCATATCCATGGTGGAATCAGAGAAACTGATTTGCTCCTCGTCCTAAACAGTTGGATTCCCGGCCAAGCCTCGGGGAACGTCAAGGTGCCGGAGGTCGGCTGGTTCAACGCCGCCGTGGCAAAGATCCTCGCCGCCCTGGTCGAGCACGCCTGGGCCACGACGACGACGACGACGACGGGCAACAACTCGACCACCACCATCAAGTATTTCGCCACGGGTGAGGAGAGCTTCAACCCCAAGATCTACGGGTTCGCGCAGTGCGTGCCGGTCCTGACGCCGGAGCAGTGCAAGGAATGCCTTAGGAGCCTCCACGATAATGCGAAAACGGTGTACATGGGCAACAGCCTCCGGTGGGTTGGTATCTATTCGGTGTGGTGCAGGCTGATGTATAGCGTGCGGCCGTTCTACGGAGGCCGGGCGACGCTGCAGCTCTCGCCGCCGCCACCACCGGTCGTCGAGACTCCGGTTGAGGCTGGAGCAGGTATGACCCAGGGTTTTCAATTTCGAAATTGGTTTTTTTTGCTGGGGGGACCGAAATTTTTTGGCCGAAATTAGTTGAAATTTTGACTGTTTTTTAATGAATTTGAATAAAATTTGACCAAATTCACAAAAAATTGCAAAAAACCGAAAATTTTGGGTGAGATGTGAGCTTGCTGGGGGGGCAAAATTACCGAAATTTCGAACCGTAATTTCAAACCCTAGTATGATGAACAGGAGCGTGCAATTTAGTTATGTTCCAACAAATAAATATGACTCGATCAAGGTTGTGCGAATATAAAGAGTTCATGTTTTGTTTGAGCAGGGAAGAAAAAGAGTGCAGCAGGAGTCGCTGCAGGCCTGGCTTGTTCAGTTTTGGTACTGTTGATCCTTGCAGTTTTTGCATTCGTTCGGTTCAAGAGGAGGACCAAGGCTGTCGAGGCTGACCACCGTGAGTAGCATACAGTCTCTGCTCAGTTTCTGGAATTTGCTGTTCCCTGACGTAATTTTTCTTGTCAAATGGCAACAGCATTGAAGAAGATAACAAGAGCACAATGCATGATTTTTGATCTGCCTACGCTGCAAGAGGCAACTGAGAACTTCTCGGAGAACAATAAACTGGGAGAAGGTGGTTTTGGTTCAGTATACAAGGTAAGTTATATGCATGAAAAATAGCTTCAGATGCCATTGATCATTCGGTAGAGGACTATATATTGTTCATTCTCTGAATAATAATCTGTTCAGGGAGTACTCTCAGATGGACAAGAAGTAGCAGTCAAGAAACTTTTAGGAACAAGTGGGCATGGATTAGATCAGCTACACAATGAGGTTCTGTTATTGGCAGAGCTTCAGCATAAGAACCTTGTTCGGCTACATGGATTTTGCTTGCATCAGGGGGAGACATTACTGGTTTATGAATACATCAAGAACGGGAGCCTGGACAACTTCCTATTCGGTAATTTTACTTCCCATTCAAACATATCTTATTTTTTTACACTTCTTGAGGAGATACCAAAAGGTATAATATCTTTCAGTGTAGATTTTGGTGCCCCTACCAATAATTAAATATTAAAAATTATGGTATCAACTGACAACTGTACCTCCTCATGGACCATTTAATCACACATTTCTTTAGAGTGGAGTATCTAAATCTATAACACTGCGATTAGAAATATTTTACTTCAGACAAAGTATGTGGAACAATATTAAGAAAAAGCATTAAGTACTGTAGCAAATATGGCAAACAAGTTACATGCTTAAGAACAGAATTTGCACTTTCTGAATTGTATTATAGGTGAGTGATTTTGATTAAGTTGAACATTTCGTCACATTAGATATCAATAGGGGAAATGCATTAAACTGGGAGCAACAATACAACATCATTCTTGGAATTGCCAAGGGAATATTGTATCTACACGAGGACTCGAGCTTGAGGATCATTCACCGGGACCTAAAATCGAACAACATTTTACTTGGTGAGGATATGGAACCGAAAATTGCAGATTTTGGATTGGCAAGGCTGCTAGGAGAAGGCCATACTCATACTAGGACGACTAGAGTTGTTGGAACATTGTAAGTTCATCTGCATAATAAAACCTTCACTCACGACTAATCACACATATATTGATCAATGTATGTTTCCAAGCCTAATGCTGATAACTTCTGCAGCGGTTATATGGCACCCGAGTATGCAATAGATGGAAATGTGTCAACCAAGATCGATATTTTTAGCTTTGGTGTGTTGGTCCTCGAAATAGTAACGAGGAGAAGGAACTGCAATTCTGATGATCATGATCTTGTGAATCTCCTTAGTGATGTAAGTGCTGAGTAATGCTGACATACCTTACTCCAGTATATATGCTTCCATTTTTATTGCATTTGCATACTGAAACTAGTCATGATTTCAAATCTGAAAGTACTCTCAAACAAGTTTCCGATTAACAAACTCATGTCAATCCGTCTAACAGGTCTGGAATTGCTGGACAAAAGGGACGGTTTCCCAAATGATTGACCAATCGCTTCACGGATATTCTCAAAGCCAAGCACTGCGATGCATCCACATTGCGCTGTTGTGCGTCCAGTCAGACCCTAACGATAGACCTCAGATATCATCTGTCATTTTCATGTTGACCCGAGAAAACATGGAGCTTCAGCCACCAGCACAACCTGCATTCTTCTTTGGGGGAGGATCAGCTTCCTCTTCTCCTTCATTTGGGCAACGCAGCTATGTGTATGACCGATGTGGTTTTGATAACATTTCTGTAAACGGTGTTACACTCACTGAGCCATATCCTAGATGACTAGTATGTCATACTAGGGCACATTTTTAATGGGTAATAAATCATGGAACCTTACCATGTCCATGCAATGATGCAATTAATCTCGTAGCTCTCTTAGCTTCATGAAACCTTGCGTCGCTCTAGCCTTAGGGCGACAAGGGTAGCCCCATACCGGCTAAGACAGCGGTGGTAGGGCTCCTTCTCCCCTGGTGGTGCTAGAGTGGTTGGGAGCACCACGACGTCTTTAGGTAGAGGTAGCACTGCATTGCCCAAATCTATAGGTCGCCGTGGCTTGATCTGGAGAGACGACGCCCACGGACACCGCACTACTGGCGGAGTGTGGTGGTGAGGTAACAGGCGGTGGTGTATGTTGTGGTTGGATACCAGGTAGTGGTGGAGACAACGGCCAGGGCTGTAGACTGCGGTGGAGGCCGCAACCGATTTGCAGGCACTGAATCCATAGTTGCTGAGCCCGATTCCATCTAGATCTACTCAGTGGGAGACTAGTGGGCGGTGATGGAAATAGCTAAGCTCGACGATACCGAAGTGCCTTGACGGTGGTAGTGGTGATGACCAGTGGGATTCTAGCGACGATTGCAGATCTTGGATTACTTGAATGGTAGCGACGATCAGCTCCTCTTTAGACAGTCCCCACTTCTCTGAGGAGCTCCTCTCCTTCTAGGGACAGTTTGCTTCTAGGTCCAGTCACGGGGTTCTCCATGATGAGGGAGGTGGTTAAGAGGGCAATCTAGCCCTCGTGGCTAGCGCATTGGTGGAGCTATTATGGGCTGTGAGGTGTTAGCGTGCTGAGGGGAACCACCGGTGGAGGGGTGTCGTGTAGCGCCCGTTCCGTCGTGGCGCCTAGCGGGAAAAATTATCTCTTAAAAACCCTAATTGCGAAATTTGTTTCTTTGCTTGTTGTCTAGTGTCCGTGCCATCTCAAGATCTCAAATCCCCGATCTATCGTCGAGTTCAATCCCGAATCCAAATCTTTCCAAATCAAATCCCTCCGCAAAAGTCTATTTTGCCTCCCCCAGGGTCGATGGGCCGAAATCTCTCTCGGCCCATCTCCCCCTCCCTCCCCCGGTGCTCTCTCTCTCTCTCTCCCCCTCCGCTCCGCCCGCGCGCTGCGCGCGCGTGCGCGAGGGCCGCGCCGAGCGCCCCTCCCCCTCCGCCCTGCCCGCGCGCGTGCGCGTGAGCCGCCCACGCCGAGCCGAGTCCTCCTTTCCGCTCCCTCGCTGCCGCTCCCCGCGCGTCGTTCACGCGCGCGCCCGCGTGGTCGTCGCTCGCATCGCGTCTGCGCCGTCTGCGCCGCCCGGCCCCGCTGCCCTGCCGCGCCACTCAATCCGCCGCCCCCCCCCCCCCCCCCGTTGCAACCCGCGCGCGCGTGCCGTGGTGGCCGACCGCCTGGTCGCCGCCGTCGTCAGCGCCTGCCCGCGCCTGTCGCCCGTGTCGCCGCTCCGCTCCAAACCGCCCTGCCGTCATCGTTGTCGTCATCGCCTCGGCCCCGCCTCTCCGCGCGCAAGCCGCCAAGGGACGGAGGCAGAGTCCCTCCACTCTCTGCCGCGACACCCCCGCTCCCCTCCTCCTTTTCCCCAAAGAGGCAAGGGACGAGCTCCCCTTTTCTCTCCCTCTTTTCCCCTTTTTCCCTCTCGCCGGCGTCACCTCCTGTCGCTGTTTTGGCCGCTAGCCGGAGCGCCAGCTCGCGCCTAGACCGCCTAAAGTTGGTTTCCAAACCGACATTGCCGCCCTTTAAAGCCCAGGCGCCCTCCCTCTCTTCTCCCTCGTTGTCCCATCGCCTCCACGCCATTGCCGCCGCCTCTCGTGCTCTGTTCGCCATCGCCGTTCGTCGTTGCGCGTGTCGGCGGAGCCGGCACGAGCAAGGACGCGGAAGGGGACTCCGGGCGCGCCCTCTTCTTCCTCTTCCTTGGCCCGAGGCCGGAGAGATTACTCCCGCGCCGTCGGCCTCTCGTCACTGCGCCCCGCCCGCACGGTAGTGCCTCCCTCCGTTCTTCCTCCTCGCTCCATCTCCCCCCCCTTAGTTTTCGGTGGTAGCACGAGTAGCCTCCCCGTAGCTAGCCGGCGCCGCCCCGACCGTTGCCGTCGCTCGCCGTGTGCTCGCCGCCGTCGCCGCCCGAGCTCCGTAGCACCCGCTCGTCGCCGGCCTCGCTCGGCGTAGCTCCGCCCAATCCGACGCTAGCAACGGATTCCCGTAGCCGCGTAGATGCTCTCTCCGCCGGGAATCGGCCCCTCGTGACCTCGTCGCCGTTTTCCCCTTTTCTCTCCGCCGGTTGCGGCCGCCGCAATCCGCCGCCGACGGACTCCCTCCGGCGAATCCGAGCCGTTGGCTCGTCTCCCCTCGTCTCGTGCAACTACCCGGTGTGCTCGCTTTCGCCTGTATCGCCGTGGTTCGCTCCGCCGCTCGCCGCTGTCGTCCGCCGTCCATTCCGGCCGGCGTCGTCGTCTACCTCCCGCCGGCCCGCGTGGCAGCCACGTAGGCGCCACGTCGGCGCCAGCTCAGCCAAGACCGGGTCGAGCCGACCCCGGTCAGTCCCTCCCCGTGCGCGCGTTCCACCGTGAGCCGTGAGGCTGCGCGTGGGCCCGCCGCATCCGCGTCCACCGCGAACCGCGCGCGTGCACCGCGTCCCTCCCCCACCCTAGCGCCGCGCCGCGTGCTCCCTCCACACGGTGAGCCGAGCCGCTGCCAAGCGGGTCCCACCCGGGACCACGCGTGGTGAGCCCGGTCCACTGGCTCTCTCTCTTCTTCCCTCCCGCGCGCGCGAACCTTGGGCCGCTCTGGGCCGCCTTCTTGGGCCGGCCGGCCCATTAAGCTCGGCCGAGCCGCCCTTTCTCTCGGGCCGCGCCCTAGCCGCCCAAGGGAAGTCTATTTTCCCTCCCTCTTTCCTTTTCTTTTCTTTTCTTTTTAAAAAGGATTTAATTAAATCCTTTTCCTTTAGACCAAAAATCCAATAATCTTAGAAATTCAATATCTTCCCAACCGTAAATCCGTTTGACTCCGTTCAACTTCCAAAATTCCTCAAATCTCCAGATCTATCTAATGGCACGCTTAGAGGTCATTAATAGGGCTTTATTTTCGCCGTTTGTTGAGTTGTCCCGTTTCGCGTGTAGTTTCGGAGCCCGAAGACCCGCAGTGCGAGGATTTCGAGGATCAAGCTCCAGATCTCGAGCAAGGCAAGCCACCTTCGAACGTCTTGAGCCTATATTTGAATTTAATTATGTTGCTTGAAAAATATTATGCATTGATAGGACTGCACTTAATCTGCTTGTCCCGTCTGCAAGGCAGATTGGCGGACCTACCTAATTTGTTGCATTTGATCCTTCCTTTGTTAATTGTGATACCATGTCCCCTTGTAACCATCTAGTTGCGTCTCGATATTCGTGCACCCTGCGCGAGTATCGACGGACGCCTTCAAACTTAAAATTTTGAGTAACAACTTGGGTAAAACTGGAGTTTTACAAAAGACTTGGAAAACCCGACACCTGGGTCGGTGCTTGCGAACTAAATGAATTTCCAAAACCGCGGACCAGGGAACGTACCGGGTGTACGGTTTCCCGCTCTTGCACTTAAGGACCGTTTCCTTGGAATTTCATCCGAACATAAGACAAGTACGACCACATGGGTGGAATGGGACACCCCTGGCTGAGTAACTAGCTTATCAGGGGAGCCTTGATGCCGAGAGACATGTGGATTCGCCGGGGTGGTGTCGGGGAGGACCCCTGGGCTTCCTGGCACAGTATGGTCTGGGACCTAACCTGTTGTTGGTCTGGGACCCCTCTCGTCGGCATATGGTAAACCTGTGTCGGCTTTGGAAATGCCTTGTCATGAAAGCTTGGAGGTCTCCCGACGTGGCTGATCCCCATGGGCTGGGTGATCCGGGTTAGTAATGTCGTGTGGGTAAAGTGTACCCCCTCTGCAGAGGTTAACAAACTATTCGAACAGCCGTGCCCACGGTCATGGGCGGATGTGAGGTGATTCCTAGCGTAGTTTTGTTGGACTACTGCTTGTGAAATTGCTGTTGTGGAAAGGGGTTCGATGTTTGAAAAATCTGTAACTGATGGAATCGGCTAGGCCCGGGTGGCCGTTTGAAAGTTGTTGGCCCGGGTGGCCGTTTGAAAAGCTGTTGGCCGGGTGCCAACCTTGTTTCAATTCTAAAGACTGATACATTGCACATACTCCGACCGGACGAGACGCACTGTCTCATCCGTGTCGTTTGAGAAGCACTCACTTAGTTGTTTTCAGAAAAGGGTTCAAATAAAATCAATTGCTAAAACAACAGCCTTTCCTTGAAAGTCTGCAATAAACACCTATTTCCCATGGCTTGCTGAGTACTCCCGTACTCACCCTTGCTCTATATAAATAATCCCCCCCCAGTTGCTGAAGAAGATGAAGCGGATCCTGCTGATGAGGAGTTCTTCCAGGAGCAAGCCGGCTACGATGAGTTTTAGGGTTTCGGCCTAGTTCCCAAGTCGCGCCTGTGATGTTTGGTCCTAGTCCTGGCTTCTGCTTTCCTTTTGTAATGCAGTTGTGAGCTCGGGGTCTGTCCGCAGCCCAACATGACTGTATCTCTACTCTATAATAAAGAGACCTCTGTTGCTGTGATAATCTGTCTTCCTGTGATACCAGCACTGTTTCCTGGGACTGGTATCGATTAACAGGTTAATTTGGAGCGTCACGGGCTAGTTCCGGTCGGTACTAGTTCGGGGCGTGACAAGAGATGGTATCAGAGCTGACTCTCGCGGTTTCATGGGCGCGTGTGTCGCAGTTGCGCAGGCATGGTGCGCATGGCTGGTGTAGACCGGGAGTGGTTACACAGCATGGCACATGCGCTGGCACTGGACACATGGACGTGGCCAAGAGAGGACGTTCCTGGCCTAGGGTTGATCGACGGGGGCGTCGATCTCTCTTAAGGGGGTGAGGGTGTAACATCCCGGCCTAGGGCTTAATAGGATTAATAGAATACTCATATGAACAAGTTGCAACTTCTTTTTCGGAAGCCAATCTCCAAAGAACTCCAGGGTTAAGCGGGCAGTCTATGACCTATGAAAACTATCAGATGTAAGTGGGCCC